CCGGAGCAGACAGTAGTGGAGGAGCCTGTGGATGAGGTGCCCAGCACCACGCAGGATGATTTTGGGACGTGGGACCCCCTGGAGGAGCCCGAAGAGCTATGCAGCAAGAAACCTTTTGATGCCTTCACTGACCTGAAGAATGGTTCCCTTTACGCTTTCCGAGGTATCTTGGGGACCTTTCCTGGGCACATGGGATACGTTGCCACACCGTCACCCCACGCCAGCGACTGCAGTCCCTCCTGCGACTCCCACCTCCCTTCTCTCCCCAGGGAAGTACTTCTATGAGCTGGACGAGACAAGCGTGCGGCCAGGGTACCCCAAGCTCATCAGCGATGTCTGGGGCATCGAGGGCCCCATCGATGCAGCCTTCACACGCATCAACTGTCAAGGCAAGACTTACCTGTTCAAGGTGAGCAGGAGCCTGGCTGCAGGGGTGGCTGGCACGGTCCTCCAACCCACCCTATGCCCACCCTCTCACTCTCCATGCATGCATGCACACAGTGGCTGCCCGAACTCCCCCCCCAACTTTTTTTTTCCAGGCAGCCACAGCCTCACCACGGGGCTTCCCAGCATCCGTTCAATCTGCCTGGCAAACCCGTGCCTGGCAGATGCTGCACCCGGCCCCTTGACTCTCCCCCTGTCCCGCACCCCGCAGGGCAGCCAGTACTGGCGCTTTGACGATGGAGCCCTGGACCCTGGGTACCCACGTAACATCTCTGAGGGCTTTGAAGGCATCCCAGACAACATTGACGCAGCTTTCGCCCTCCCCGCACACAGCTACCACGGCAATGAGAGGGTCTATTTCTTCAAGGGTAAGGGGTGCAGCCCCCCGCTCCCGGGCAGAGCCTGGCACCAGCGGCTGTGGGCAGGACACCCCTCGATCTCCTGCTCCCCCTTGAGTGCGTGTCCCTCACTAATGCCCTGTGTGTCCTCTCCTAGACAAATACTACTGGTCCTACGACTTTGCCCAGCAGCCCACGCAGGCCGACTGCGAAAAGTCCTCCCCCTCCACCGTGTTCGGCCACTACGCCTTCATGAACCGCGACAGCTGGGAGGATGTTTTCCAGATCCTCTTCGGTGGCAGGATGAGTAAGGGCTGGGCCAGCCTCTGGGGAGAGGGCCAGCGGGTGCCAACATAGCCCACGCTGAGAGGGTGCAAGGGGTGCAGGCACCCAGGAAGCGATGCCTGGAAGGGCGGGCAGGCTGGATGAGCTGCCGTGCTGGGCAGGAGGCTGGGCTGTGCACAGGAACCCCCTAGACCACAGCTGCATCACCCACTGCATCCCAAATCCCACCCTCTGCAGCCCTTATGTCCTGCACTACCGAGCCCGTCACTAGCCAACTCGCACCGCAGCGTCGCTGCTGGGGACTCTTTATTCCCACTGGAGCTGGAGGTGCCGTAGGAAAACCCCAGCCCTGGGCAAGAGAAATGAACAATGGAGAGGAGAAGAAGGGGGCTTAGTGGCACAGGGCTGATCCCAGCCAAGGGTGGGGCGAGGGGCGGCTCCCAGCTCTGCCTGGTCCATGTCCCTGTCACGGGGGTATACTCCAAAGGCTGTGATCCTTTGGAGTATCCCTTTGGGTCTCGAAGCGGATTCTGGGGGCTGTCTGTGGGGCTGTGCCCAGCTCACCCCCATACATGGCTGCCCCTCTTGTTCATCATCTGCCTCTTTGCCAGACGGGGCGAGCAGGCCGCGGTACATCAGCAAAGACTGGCGGGGGGGGGGCCGTTTTTCGGCCAGTATCTCCGTGCCCTCCCACCAGCCCCGGAGGAGGAAGTCTCGCCGCCAGCGCAAGAGGTACAAGAACCACCGGTCACTGAATTTGGGTTTCTGGGGCTGGCTCCAAAACGACTCTGACTCCGCGGATGTCGAAAGCGACTGGCTGTCAGGCTCCAAGTGCGAGACCCTCCAGAGTGTCTACTTCTTCGTAGGAGGTGAGTCTGGAGCAGCAGGATCCGGGAAAGATGCAGAACCAGGGCTGCTGGGGCGGGGGGAGATCTCCTCTCACTCTGCGATGTCCCTGAGCTCCAAGACGCAGTGGGAAGGTGCCCGGGGCTGGCAGCGAGGGCTGGCAGGCCCCCGCAGCTCTGAGCAGTCCTGACAGCCATCTCCCCTTCTTCCCAGACAAGTACTACCGCGTCAACCTGCGTACCAAGCGCGTGGACCTGGCGCAGCCCCGCTACCCGCGCTCCATCGCCCAGTACTGGCTGAACTGCCCGCAGCCCGGGGAGGAGAGCACCTGAGAGGGCCCCACCGGAGCTGCCCGGCAGCACAGCCCCTAGCTAGGCAGAAATAAACTGTGAGTGCTGTGCAGGCTGGAGAACACCGTCTGTCCGTCCGCCCGTCCATCCCTCCCGTGGTCTTGCGCAGTCCTTGCAGTCCGAGATCCCTGAGGGCTGCGGTCATCCCCCCAGGTATAACAACTCTGCGTGGGCTGTGCCACATCCCGGCTGGGGGCCGCGGCCCCGGAGC